AGATGTCCATCAACAGATGAATGGATAAAGAAGAAGTTGTATATATACACACAATGGAATACTATGCAGCCATCAAAAGAAATGAAATCTTGCCATTTGCGACGACGTTGATAGAACTAGAGGGTATCATGCCTAGCGAAATAAGTCAATCGGAGAAAGACAACTATCATATGATCTCCCTGATATGAGGGAGAGGAGATGCAACATCGGGGGTTAAGGGGGTAGGAGAAGAGTAAATGAAACAAGATGGGATTGGGAGGGAGACAAACCATAAGTGACTCTCAATCTCACAAAACAAACTGAGGGTTGATGGGGGGAGGGGGGTTGGGAGGGGGGGATGGGGTTATTGACATTGGGGAGGGTATGTGCTATGGTGAGTGCTGTGAAGTGTGTAAACCTGGCGATTCACAGACCTGTACCCCTGGGGATAAAAATATATTATATGTTTATAAAAAATAAAATTAAAAAAAAAACACAAAAACAAAAACAAAAAAAAATATATTATGTATAAATTTTTTTCCCAAGCAGGTGAAACATAAGAAAAGGCCGCTAGTGGCTTCAAACATATATATAAATACACATGAACAGTGTGTGATCTTCTTATGTCTGTTTTTCTAAGTATCACTGGTAAAACACTATACTACTGCAACTTTTTGAGTAATATTCCAGTACCTTAAACTGTTATTCTTTAACCCTGCGAATATATAAACTATAATCTGTAATTCTAAATTGATAAGAAAAACAATCCATTTTAAGGTCTTGGACACAGAAAACAAAAAGTGCCACACTATTACCTAGTGAGGTAGATGCAACATCCTTAATTGTTAACAGTGATTTATTGTGCATCATTAGGATTGAAATCCCTTGTTATTCAAACTGTGATATATGAATCAGCATCACTGACATCATCTGGGAACTTAACTAATTATACAGAATATCAAGTCCTACAGAATCAGATCTGCATTTGAACACCCATAGTGGATTCCTAAACATGTTAAAATTTTAGAGTCACTAGTACAATCTGTTCTTTAAAGACTGACTCTGTGGTTAACCCCCCAAGAAAGATGTCTATCGCAGCATGATTGCATTTAATCATAATTTTAAAAAGTCAGATTTCTTTCCAATTAATAAAGTCCACAAATTGAGTACCATTTAAATGAAAGTCATTGCTGTGGGCAATACACAAACATCAAGAAGAGAGACTTTGCCTTAAAGAACATTATAAAATAAAACAAAGAGATAAAACATGTGAATATGTAATCCCAGTACAAGGCACTTAGGGATAATTTCTATTAAGAGAGCTATAAACTATTAAGGGAGAGCAGCTCAGAGAGGCCAAGAAGACTACATACAAGAGTCAGCATTTGTACTTTTTTTCAAGGATAAGTAGATTAAAACAAAAGGAAGGATGATGAGCAAAACCTTAACAGTCAGGAACAACTAACACATTTATCCAAAACACAGGGTACACAGAAAGGAACATAAACAAAAAGCTAGAAAGGTAGGATAAGACCAGACACCTTATAGTTCCCTTCCAAATTAAGTACTCTCTTCTCTTGTTAACAAACAATATACCAATGTGTGGGACATTTAAGTAGGTTTTGCGGGGGGGGGGGGGGGGGGGGGAATGCAACTTCACAAGGTCAATTCTACTCAGTCTAATTTTTATGGCCACAATCTTTGGCAAAGTTTTAATTAAGAAAATGCACTGATAATTACCAACATTCCACATAATTTTATATTTAAGGGAGAAATGTAGTAAAATGCCACTTTGCTACAGTGAGTGCTTTAAAAAAAACACTTAAAAAACTACTTAATTCTTGTACTCTAAAAGGGGGAGTATCAATTTGTACAGTCTCTTTAGAGAACACCTTGTCAACTAACCTACACCGTGTGACCTAACAATTCCAATGCTCATCATCTATCCTAGAGAAAATCAGACATATATACAAAAAGTATGTAATTTTTTAAGTAGACTCCATGCTCAATGGGGGGCTTGAACTCACTACCCCAAGATCTACCAACTGTGTCAGCCAGATGCCCCCTCACTTATTGTAAAGAGAAAAAATAAAAAGGGTCAATCAACTTTAAATGAAAAATGGAAGATGATATTATGTTCCAAACACATATGCAAAACACTATAGTAAGAAACATCTGAAAGGATATTCAGTAAACAAGCAGCATGATTATCTCTTTTCTTGAAGGAGACATCAAAAGTTCTGTTTTCACAAGAAGAATGTATTTATATATCACTTATATAATTTACTTAAAATGTTTTTAGGGTAATAATAAGCTTAATTGAGGTTTCTGGGAAACAGACATTAAGAAAAAGGAGAGTTGATGAGGTTAGATTAGACTAAGGATGAAAAAGATGGAAAAATCAGTATTTTTATATACCACGTTTTCATTGAGTAAAAGAACCAAAATTATATTAGAAAGCTGATATTTGATATGCAGAAAACAGCCACAGATACAAATAAGAAATTAGCAAATCCCATACTCTGAGGTTAATACAGCTCTCCAGAATAAATGTATTTTAAAGAAGGTTAGGACAGACTGGGGACAATCCTTTCTGGTCTCCTGACTGAACTCAAAAATGCTGTGACACTATCCTTGGAAGAGCCAGACTTTGGTTGAAATGAAGGCCTTATCTAGATTAAGAGAAACAGCGATACACAAGCCAAAACCATCCTAAAAGTCGTATGAAGTGTCTCACAAAGGCTGAAGAAGCAAGAATGATTCACCTGCCATTCAATTAGAACAGCACATTCTAACAGAGAAAATTCATGATTATCTGTCCCAAAATAATCCCCTTCATTTTCTATGTTTCCATCTCTGATAATAAACTCTCTGGCAAAATTTTGTGGATGGAATTTCTGTACCTCATTAAGAGAGTGACAGAAGATCCAGGTAAGGCCAGGACAAGCATGGTTTAAGTCTCTTATTCCAGCATAATTAATATCCTTCTCTTTGCCTCTCTACAGTATCCTGGTTTGTAGGATAAATTGCACAGCCCCCTCCGCACCCCCCACTAATAGATTATCACTGGTTTGCACCTACTCTGAACCTTAAAGGTCCTCTGCTATTTCATTGTTCTTAAAGTTGCAAATTTGCTTAGGAAAACAGGAAGCCAGGGCACCCCAGGTTACAGATGGCACTCTGGTATTGACTTGAAGAGATGAATATACCCATTTCATTCATTTACAAGGCCCAGAAAAATTGCCATAAGTCAACTAGCTAGTTAGTAACAATATCTGCACTAGAACCTAAGTCTCTAAGAACACTGCATTTCTACACCATTATCTCTAAATTACCCAACTACAGATAGAAGTTGTGGTAGAACAGTCAATCCTATGGAGAGTTTAGAAGTTACTACACTACTCCAAGTAGTGAAGAATAGCATTTGTCTAAGCACAGAATGGGTTCCACAAATAGAAAGAATTGCGTACAGAGAGACATCAACAAAATCCAAACTCCCATGAACCACAACATAGCTCAAGTATTACCTTGTTCTTAACCTCCAACAAAGATTAAGATCCCCAGGGAAGGCACCTGAGGTTAATTGAACTGTTAAATACTTTTCAAAAGGACATTTCCAATTAAGATTCCTGAGCCTTACCTTGAAAGTTTGAAAACCTGTCAACTTTACAATCAAAAGACAGTTCATTTTTTCGGTAGTTCACGGAATATAAATTATAATTGTGTGTAAATCTACAAGTAGGGAGGCTGGACAGCCCATTAAGGTTCATTAAGGGCTTTCTTTTTCTTTGCTAAATTTATGGAGATAAATTCGTCCCTCAGTTAGTGACAGTAGTAAACAAATCTTTGTAGCTAGAAAAGAATGATGGTAATATTAAATTTAGAGCAAATTTCTAAGTAATTTTTTCTGCAAGTGTCAAAATTTATAAAAAATAATGAGTATTACCATGTAAAAACTAAAGAAATCAATTAACACTTGTTTCACTCTATTGGAGTTCCTTTAAAGAAATGTTAATATACCTGCAATATAATGTATTTATACCAATCACCTTACAGTTACACCACATTCTTTAAATCCTTGATCCTCACAACCCTGTAAACATGCTCATATTTTCCCCATTTTACTGGTAACCTTTAATTTTAAGAGAAAATGAAGATATGCAAGGAATCAGCTGTAATTTCTATAAAAAAGGTTCAATTAACTTACTAAAGCTTAATTTAGAAAATAAGACTAGGAGATACTACTTCTTGTTATTTAGTATTTCCATTTAAACTTAAAACAAAAACTACAACCAAAATAAAGCACCCAGGGTCATACTGTATAGGTCAGCTTTCAAATGCTGTGGCATAATCTAGCCTCCTCTAAAGAGGATGGCTAACCTAATGTTAAGACTATCACTTACCTAATGTGCAATTCACTCTCCTGTCAACTTTCCTGTTTAATTATTTTCCACCACAATCATAATTCCAAGCATTTTATTAGCAACTACTGTACAGTTGCATTTTTAATATGACTATTTGTTTACAAAACAGATTTTCAGTTTGTCAATTACTTCAAAACGAAAAAAATTACAATCGCGCTTCCACTTATAAATAAATCCCCTTGCTCCAACTTGCTTCCCCCCCCCCCCCGCGTTTTTTCTTACAAATCCACAAAAACCTTCTATAGAACGAACAGCACTATCTACCTAAAGTTAGCTTTCCCAAGTCACTACCACGTTTGGCGGGGTGGGGGGGGGGGCAAATCTCAATGGAGGCCGCGCCAGCCGAGCGGCTCCGCTAGGTTACTCCCGCAGTGCCCCCACCAGCCAAGGAGAACCCGAGGTCCCACCTCTTCCTGCCGCTCCCTTCCCAGATGTCCATTTATGTAAATAGACAGAGTGAATGACACCTTGGAACAAAATACCTCCGACTGTCAGGGAAAGGAAGCCTGCCCCTCCCCCAGTCCCACGACAGCCTCTACAGCCAAACGAATCACCCCTGCACACACCCTCCCACTGCCCACCGCAAAAACCACAGACCTGCCTCGAGGGTTTCCAGTGGGGAAGGTGTCGGTCCCGTCCCAGCAGGGGACAGGTGCTGGAGAGGCTTTTTGGTCCAGGGGTTCTCCTTAGGCGGCGGCGGCTGCAGCTTTTCCTCGGGGCCAGTCGCCGCCTCATCCACCAGGGCGTCCTCGGCCGGCGGGTCCCTCGGCAGGGGTGGCGGGGGTTCCCCGCCAAAGGGACCCCCGGGCCCGCGCGCCTTGTGCGCCAGGTGCAGCGCCAGGGGTCTCACGGGCACCGCCGCCTGGGGCACGCTGTGCCCTAGCACCAGAGCCGGCGACGGCTCCCCTCGAGCACCCGCGATGATGGCTGTCGCGGCCCTCTCTTCACTCGCCGCCTCCTTGCCCTCCCGTTCGGGCGGGGACAGCCGCTCGGCCTGCCGACTCGCCGTTACCAACAGCGACTCCTCAGCAGCCACCGCGGGTGGCTCCTCCCGAGAGTGAGCAGCAGGCACCGCGGCGCGAGTAGACATCGTCCCCTTGCCCCAGCCGCCCCCGCCGGGGGGGGCCCGGGGCCAGGGAGCCCGACTGCCCGTCTCTCCGCCGGGGAACCGACTGGCTCCGGCCTGGGACAGAAAACCCGAAAGCCCGGCCGCCGCCGCCGCCGCCACCGCCGCCCGCGTCGGCCGACGCCGTGCAGCGCCCGGCGTGCCGCCCCTCCCCGCGTGGAACGGAGCGCTAACCGCCCGCCGGCCCAGCCCGCCTCACAGGCGCACGCCCAGAGCCAGCCAACAAGCACCGGGCGCCGCAGAGGGAAGCCGCAGCCGGGCACCGCAGCCGGGAGCCGCGAGCCCTCACCTGGCGCGGGCAGCCGCGGAGGCGCTACGAGTAAGGGCTGGAGGACCTCTAGCGGAGTCAAGGAGCCGCGTGCCCCTAGAGCCGGTAACAGCTCGCGGGGGCGGAGGCGGGGGCGTGGAAGGGGAGGTCCCAGAAGACAGAGCGGGGCGGGGCCTCGCGAAGGAGCGTGACGTGGCTACTCACCCGCTCTTGCCCTTGCCAGGCCGCCGCCTGCGGTGGTTGACTGACTAGCCGGTCCGGGTGCCGCCCGGCCTAAGGGCCGGCCCCGCCCCAGCGGCCAGCCGAGGGGGAGGGAGGAAGAATTGGACGATTCCGCGGCTCGCCGGCTACCGCAGCCTGACTGCGGCAAGCAGGGGCGGGGCGCTCATGGGGCCTCTGTGACTCGCCGCGCAGTGGCGCTGTGCCCTGCCGGGTGCGGGCGAGGGGCGGGGCGGCCTACACAAGTGGGGCGGGACGGGCGGGGGCGGTCGCTTTGCCCCAGGCCAGGACGCGAAATTGACTCCAGAAGGGGTGGTCTCTGCCGACAACCTTGGGCCGCTTCGCTACGAGCTAGGGTCCCGGACGGGGCCGTTTTGCCCTCTGTGTCAGTTGCTTCACCCGGTGAAAAAGTTTCCACCTGAGATTTTGGGGCACCTCGGTCATTTGTAGTCCTGAGCCACATCCAGAATGGAAATTGTGTAATTTGTAGGTAACTGTTTATGAAATCTTTGCCCAGGCAATTGGTTTAGTGTATTTCCCTCCTTCATTTCTACCTTCGAACCGAAATATTTTTAAAGTGCTTTTGAGTAAAACAAATGGTTAATATTTCGCCGACTTGTTGTTACATCTTCCTTTAATTTGTATAGATAACACCTGTTTACAAATTAACCATGTTTCCTAATATTTTTTCCTGGAATGGATATGTTTAAAAGGTACAAATATGTTTTAACTCCAGTAGGAGCTTTCTATTTGGCTCTGAAATTCAGTGAGTGATAATATTGATTTCATGGGCGTGGATTTATAAGTTACTAAATGTTTATGTTCTTATGCAAGGTCGCTTAAAATGGGTTTGACCCAGTGAAAATTTTTTTCATCAAGGGACACCCGTCAGAAAATAAATGCACCATTTGTATGCACTTGGCAATGGATCCTTCCTGGCCTCATTTAGGGCTTCCAAACTAGGCAGAGAGCTTATACAGGGCTCTTCTCCCAGGAATCTCACTTCAGTCACATTAAACTTGAGATTAATGTTTCTATTTACTCAGAAGTTGTACTAGGCATAATTTTTTTAATTCCCTAAGGTTAGTAAGCTACTCGTGCACTACTTGTAAATAAGACCTTTCTTGTTCTCCATATCACTGGTTTCCAATTCATCTGACCCTAAGGAACTTTCGGAACACATTACCAGTTAAATAAGTATTGTACTTACCTATATTCTCAAGGAGGCGCCATTTTTACTAGCCTCCTTCTGGGTAAAGCTTTGTTTTGTTAACTTATCAACTAGCTGCTCTTCCTGCTACAATGAGCCTTTTGGAGTCCTGCCAGGTAATGCTGGTTTTTGTTTACAGAAGCTCAGCAGGCTGCCTGCTGAGCAAGGATTCCCGACTTGGGACTCTATCTCAGGACCCTGGGATCATGACCTGAGCTGAAGGCAGCTGCTTAATTGACTGAGACAGCCAGGTATCTCTTTACCATCTATTTAAATACAGGTGAATTAAAGACTGATTTTTTTAAAGATATTATTTATTTATTCATGAGGGACAGAGGGAGAGAGAGAGAGGCAGAAGAAGAAGCAGGCCCCCCTACCTGATCAGGGAGTCCAATGTGGGACTCCATCGCAGGACTCCAGGATCATGACCTGAGCCGGAGGCAGACGCTTAACCATCTGAGCTACCCAGGCACCCAAGGCTGACTCTGTTGAAGAAAAGGTTATGGAATGGATTTCCAAAGTTTGATTCATATGGGCTACCTAACCATAGTTGGTGGTTTTGTTTGCTGCTTACTGTTTTGTTTTGTTTTAAAGTGAAGAATTGTAAAGGTGCTTTATTGAAGAAACACAGAGGACCTTTTTGGAAATAGGTTGTGTTTGCAGGAAGAGGAGAACTGGAGGGTATATGTGTACCCAAAAGGTCTCTAAAGAATTCAACAGTTGGGGGGCATCTGGGTGACTCAGTTGGTTAAGTGTCTGCCTTTGGCTCAAAGTCCTGGGATCCAGCCCGGAATCCAATTAGGATTCCTGCTCAGCAGGTTGCCTACTTCTCCCTCTCCCTCTGCTACTCCCCCTGCCTGTGTGTGCACGCAGGCTCTCTCTCTCTCTCTCTAATACAAGAAATCTTAAAAAAATAAAAAGAATTTAATAGTTGATATTTGGGGATCATCACTGTAATGCAGTACCACTAATGTCAGTGAAGGGAGTTAGCAATTTGTTGTCTCTCTTTTAAATACATATTAATAACTCCTATTTCCGCATAACTGCCTCTTGGAAACAACTTCACCTATCTTCTCTTTGCCTCTCCACCCTTTTCCTGCCCTTGTGCCAGCCAGAGCTGACCTGTCCAGATTGCACCAATGGATTCCCTCATAGTTCTTGGTATCTCAGTGGGTTCAGGCAAGAAGTATCCACAAGAGATAGAAGGACAGAAGATAGTGAGGTCGAAGTCCATATTCCCCAAGCTCATGAATTCCATGTTCACCCAGGATTAATTGCAGAACCTCCTTTCAGTTAATCTCTCCAGTTCTTCCCTTTGTCCCTTCCAGCCTAGTAATAACTGCTAGTCCTTGGGATATTGCATTATCTCTTGCTGGTTTCCCTGACTCTTGGGCTGCACCTCTGTAAGTCAATATTTATTAACTCTATTCTAAAAATTATGCAGCTTAAGCTTTCCATTCGATTTTTTAAGCTTTTATTTTTAAACAATCTCTACACCCATTGTGAGACTCAAACCTACAACCCTGAGATCAAGAGTCACATACCCCACGGACAGCCAGCCAGGTGCTCCTGTCCAGTTTTTGATGGGACTTTGACCTAATTTGCCTTGGCTGAAACTCCATTATGTTAAGTCATTTGGCCTCTGCTTCTTAGTTCAAAAGCAGGGAAGAAAGATGGATTGGCTCAATTTATTTTTTGTAGCCAAATCATTATCCATCTTCCTATGGATTATTTCCCTTGAATAGGGTCCTCATCTATCCTGGAGGAACAAGTTATTTGGTTCAAAAACTACCCTCAAAACAATTAGGTTGGGAGAGCTAGTTAATAGGAATATGAGAGAGGTACCTCCTTTAACCAAGTTTTCTTCCTTTTCCCTATTTTAGTGAATGGCACTACATTCCAATCCCTATAACCCAGGAGTCCTCCTTTCACCTCACCTTCACTCTCCATAATTCATTCCTTTACAAATATTTCTCAGGCATCTGCCAGGCAGTGTTTTAGGCACTCACCAAGACGAGTACCTCCTCAGTGTCAAGTTCTGCTTTCTCCACTGCCACCATCCTACTCCAGGATGCCGCCATGCTTGTGTAATATTATCACACCCTCTTAATTGGCCTCTCTGCCTTCATTTAGATCTATTTGATAAAACTGCAAAGGTTACATGAGATACCAACTGTAAAATGCTTACCAAAAACCTTGGCTCAGTGAGACTACCTATTTTTACTGCTTTTAAATTCACAGACTTAACCCGAGGAAATGACCTTAATTTTACTGAACCACTGAGAAGCCTGGCTTATTTATTTTTTTGGTAATGGAAAACTGATATAAGGCTGTCTTTTCAAAGAAGGGAGAATGGTTCTCTGGACCCTCAGAAGTTGTAAAACACCTAAAGTAACTATCCATACACACACTTGGTGATCCTGTTGTTCAAATGAGCCTTTAAAAGATGAATCTTGTTTTTCCTGTTTAGAGTATGCTTATATATTGTCAGATGATTGAACCCACTCCTTCTCCTCCTCATCCTGGTGTCTTAGGAAATTAAAGTCCCATGAGAACATCAAGATCTTTGTTATTATTACCAGTGCAATTTAGGTTCAAGCTGGTAAAAACCCAATGTACAAATAGCTGTACTGTATGCTAGAGAAGTTTCAAAGAATGTATTAGATATAAATCATTTCAAAATCCTGCAGTCCAAGGAGAAGATAAAACTGAACTCAGAGATTTTTTTGAACTTCTTATAAAGTAGCCACTTCTTAAAAGATTGATTTAAAAAATATTTTATTCATTTTTTAATTATTTTTTAATTTATTTAATTTCTTTTCAGTATAACAGAATTCATTGTTTATGCACCACACCCAGTGCTCCATGCAATACGTGCCCTCCATAATACCCACCACCAGGCTCCCCCACCCTCCCATCCCCACACCTTCAAAACCCTCAGATTGTTTTTCAGAGTCCAGAGTCTCTCATGGTTCATCTCCCCCACTCCAATTTCCCTCAACTCCCTTCTCCTCTCAATCTCCCCATGTCCTCTGTGTTATTTTTTATGCTCCACAAATAAGCGAAACCATATGATAATTGACTCTCTCTGCTTGACTTACTTCATTTTTTGAGAGAAAGAACAAGCTGAGTGCGGTGGGGGGAGTGGAGGAGTTGGGGGAGAGAGAGAGGGAGAGGGAGAAGTAATCTCCCTCTGAAGCAGGGATCCTGATGCAGGGCTCAGGTCTCCATTCCAGGACCCTAGGATCTTGACCGGTGCCAAAGACAG